GTCAGATCATGCTCGGGTCGGGTCGGGCCACAAAAAAAGTGACCCGTGTCGGACACTGGTATCTGTATATAGTAGGAGTTGAGGACCCAAGGGTACCGGTATATAATAGGGCTTGAAGACTCAAGAGTACTTTCGTATAATAGGAGATGAGGATCCAAGGGTATCTGTATATAATAGAACTTGAGGACCTATGGGTACTTGTATATAATAGGATTTGAGGATCCAAGGATGGTTGTATATAATAGGACTTGAGAACCCAAGGGTATCTTCATATAATAGGAGATGAGGACCCAAGGGTATCTGTATATAGTAGGAGTTGAGGACCCAAGGGTACCTTCATATAATAGGAGATGAGGACCAAAGAGTACCTGTATATAATAGAAGTTGAGAACCCAAGGGTACTTTCATATAATAGGAGATTGTTATAACAATAATGTGAATGATTAATCCCGGGATCCCGGTACCGGGAATGGCCGAACCCGGGAACGACCGAACCCGGGTAGTTCGGGCTCGGTGCATGCCTAGCCTTTATCTCTACAAGAGATACCGTATCTCTGATCAGATCTTTGTCAGAGATTCCACATCTCTAGGATGGAGATCTGCTTATGAAAATTGTCTTTTTAATTTTAGCCTAGGAATGATGCGGGATTAGGGCTGACCACCAAAGGACATACATCACAGGGCAGCTGCTGTGGGTGCCACGAGAAGACTGACCACGAAAGGAAGATATGGCATCTCTTACAAAGATCTGATGAGAGGTACGGTATCTCTTGTAGAGATGCGATATATCCTTAAGGGGTTCGAGATAGTAAAAAAAGTATCATTAGTGTGTAATAATTCAATATTATGTTGTAATGTCGTTCGTATATGGAAGATCTCCTTGGAGATCTCTAAGATCTCCGATTTCTTGGATCTGTGACACTACTCATTAAAATCATACAATTTTTAATCAATAATTCAGCAGTAATAACCGTGGCAAAATCAGATTTTAATCGAGTATTATGATTATAATCGATTTAGGCTTCTCTAAAGGTGATTTTTTTCGCATTTTTTACATGGGTAGATGGGTAAAAAGTTGCCAGTAAAAGACCACTTTTCCAAAAATGCACATGATAATGAAAACCTTGTTATTTTTCTGAATTTATCCGAAGAGTTCATTCTTTTTGATAGCTTTGCCTATAAAAAAAAGTTGACTGTTGGCATATTCTTATCAAAAAAGGTTATATAAGAAATTTGTTACATATTTCTACATAATACTTGTTTGTTGTTGAATGGTTTTAAAAGAGTACAAATGTTAGATATACCATTGAACAACCTTTCACTGTATCAGACAAAAACAAGATTATTGCTATTAGTATAATAGAATAAAATCAAAGCGAAAATTATTATTGGGACAATGGACCGACAAAGAAATTTTGTTTCTGTTATTAATTCATGCCTGATTGTAGATTGTTCCTTTCTCGAATCTCTTAGGCAACGCTGACAATAGTTAAAACACTGGTAATTTAAGAATACTGCACTGCGAAAGAAAACGAGTAAGGATGGAATTCGCATAAATAACCGCAGCCAAAACAATAGCAACAAGCTTTCTGATCCTCTGATCATAGATCAACTCTATAAGTTTTGTGTTTGTATACCTAGGTTGTGAGTGGGTGTGGATGCGACTAAGGTTCTACAGATATTTCTAATTACTCTTTTCATTCACATCCTTCACTATCTATTTGATCGATAGATGTTAAATATTTATTAGATACATATCACACTTTAGTAACAGTATTAACAACAGGAATATTAAACACTTCCGATAATGCTCACTTGTCTCATATCAGAGGTATGTTAGTTACATGAATAGAAAAGGAATTTTTAGTAATACTAACCATAATGCTTCAAATAAATAAGTGAAAAGATCTCCGTTTGACTAATTTGATATTTGAATGACAAGAGTTTCGTTTTTAACAACTATTTATTATTATTATTATTATTATTATTATTATTATTATTATTATTTTCTTTTTAAAGCAGTTCGAGTAGGAAAGTTAAGCTTAGTGTTTTACCAAATCTGATTAGCGGGATTATTTATTTGACATTTACTCTTCTGTGGTTGCTATGCATAAAGCAATCCTTATCAACGCTCATTACAAATATGAGCAAAATGGAAAAAGTATTTTCACTCAACTTGCAGCAGATAATTTCATGCATTTAGCCCTGAATCAGATAATCTAAATTTAAGTTTCTCAAATCTTCGTGAAAATTGATTATTATTTGTAACAAAAATGTAAATATGTCAAAAACCTACTTGTTGGCAGTGGTTGGGTTTCTTCAACATCAATTTTAATTCCATTGATTTCATGTGTAACATCATGTAGAACAATATGATCCACAATGTTATAACTGAAAAAAAAAGAAATCAATGGAATATGGTTAAAAATATAAAATATGAAATTCAGAAATATTACTATTGAAGTTCAAGAACTGCTTCGAAATTCTTCCTCCATGGACAGCTAACTATTTGACCAAAGCTTTTGAAATATTCATTAATATCAAATTGAGTAAGATCTTTTAAAGTTTTTCCATTGCTGTGTGTTTCAGATATTCTAATTAATAAAAAATGACTCATTTGATCGGATAATTGAATATTTTGTGGATTAAATGGTGACATATGAATTTGTTTATCACGAACTTGAATTAAACGATTCTTCGTGAATTCATTTAGTATTTGTTCATCTGGGAACTTTAAATAAACTTTTCTTTGTTTTGTATTTTCGATATCTGTTCAATATTGTTTTATTTTGATAAATTAAATAAATATATAAAATTATTTATTAACTTACTGTAAGGTTTACCAAAATAAATATAGGGTAAATCTGTATCGATTATAGGACGGATGCCATTTTCGATATCCGTATTTGTAATTGAAATATCAACATTTTGTATTGTAACGTAGAGACAAATTGTTTGAATATTTGCTGTCGTAGACATTTTTTATATGTTTGTGTATAATGGATGAAGAATACCTCTACTAAAAATTAGATACTCGAATAATTTTATCTTTCTCTAATAAATAGATTCAATATGAATTTATCTTTTTAAGTTTTGGAAAAAAATTAAAATACAGAAAACGAATTAAAAATTTATTCAAAGGATAAGAATAGCAAAAGTTAAGTTAGAACATAACAGCTTTCCTATTTATGTATCAAAAACTTAGCACTAGATATGCTGTTGAAATTTTCATTAACTCTTTCATCTTCACTAGAAGTGTGTCACTTAGGGGTAACACTTTATCTTTATTTTACTTTATTAAAGTAAAGTAAAGTGAAGTATCTCTGACTTTATCGAACAAGCAAGATATAGTAAAATAAGATAAAGTAAAGCATCTAGTTGATGGTTACTCATTTATTAGTTTATTATCACACATTAATTACACTCTAATACGTCAAAAGTTGCGTCGAATTACGGATCAGAGGTCTCGAAAAGTTTAAACCTGACTTTTGTTACTTTGGAAGTCAGCATCGAACTCTGAATATTCTTCATAATTCTGTATTCCACATGATCACAACTCAAATTTTGATATTTGAGGTCCTCCTCAGGTATCGAAAAACAACTTTCTAGCTTTCCAATCGCTAGTCTATATAATTTAATAGCGCCAAATGTGCAGAATACAAATATCTCATTTATTTTTAGAAAGAGACACAACAGTCCAGTCTCCGACATTTGAGCGCCAATAGTTGAGTCTACACATTAGAGCCCTAGACATTTAAGTGTTTTCACAATGGAGGTTGTTGCCTTTTGAACCTCTTCAATTCTAAATCAAACCATTAACTAAATGTAGTATTTATTATAACTAGGGTGCACGATGTAAACGGTCGTGGGGTGTGAATGCCGATGTGAATGCGGATTGTGGGTGTAGGATGTCGGTGCAGGGTGTTGGTGTGAATGTGAACTGTGGATGTGAGTAGCAGTGTTTTATCCAAGTGTTTTTCTCCGGAGAAGCGATTTGAAATTTCGGGGGAGCGAAAAATTTTTTCAGGAGGGCAAGTATATAGTTGGTCCTGCGATGATGGCTAGTCTCGCAGGAGAGAACTCGCATTTCGTGCGAGCACCGCCCCTTTGGGCACCAGCTGGATAAAACACTGGTGACTAGGCTTGTAGGAGTGGATGTTGTTTTTTCTGCCACTCGTCCTCACCTTTCACACTAACATCCGTCGACACGTATCCGCATTCCCACGCTAGGGATGTACCGAGACCAAGAGGCTCGGTCTCGGTTGGTCTCCGTCTCTGTTAGTCTCGGTCACGGTTCGTCCGAGTCTCGGTTAGTCTCAGTCTCGGTCAGTCTCAGCGGAGGATGAACGAAACTGAGACTCTCGATTCAGCCTCGGTCTCGGTACATCCCTACTCCACGTCTTACCAACACCTGCATACCCATACCTATAATTAGCTAAAGAGTACTTATTCGGGATAAGTACTCTTGAAATCGCTGGGATAAGTTATTCCAACGGCTTCGAATAAGAGTGTGG